AATTAATTGATTAAATAATTTAGCACTTCTTGTCTCAATCTTAATAGTTCTTCTTCCGATGGRAATTTATCTGGAAAGAGGTTAAAGCTCTCTAGCCTAACAATATTAAGCAGCTGTAGATGAGCGTGGTTTTCGTTCATCCTCATGACAAAAGAAAAGAACTTCTTCTCGTAGAGAGAATCCATGTCTACAACTTCAAGTACATCAAGACCAGAGTTACACTCATTTATTGCCTTGTTAACTCTCTCCAAGTGAGCAATCAGTTCTTGATCCCGTCCCGTGTAGTTTTTACAAACAAGAAATCTTTCTGGATGCCAAAGAGCCCCAACAACTGGTTTAACTACGGTAATTTTAACAAATAAGTGRTGAAGAATGTATAGTAGTCCCACGGTGAAGCGAGTCATGGTATCGTATATTCGACATACGAAGGTTCCACCTTGTTTCAACGTCTTTATCGCTGTTATGCAGCTTTTCAAAAGCTGCTCTTTAGTCTTCACCTCCAGAGAAGTATGAATGCTTTCAAATGCGTTGATAGGCACGTTGGGATAGTACGGCAAAACCATAATGTCGACTGAATTCTCTTGAGGAGTTTCTTCRATAGACTTGTTATCAAGTTGAGCAGAGGAATGGTATCGCACAGCTACACCTTTAGAGCGAAGAAAATCTTCAAAACACTTGCAATGTTCTTCATCAGAGTTTAATAAAAGCGCTGTTGTTGTAGTACCATGCTCAGACCTTGTAAACTCGACCAGTTTGTCGACAACTGCAGTCGCGTTGYTGCAAAATTTACAGGGTTTGWGCTCACTCGATGAATCAGAAACAGAAAGTCCAGTTATTTGTTGAGTTATCCCAGCCAAGTCACCGCTCTTCSCTGGAGTCAGAATCGACGCGTTCTTAATCGCCTCTTCAAGTTTAGTAATGAAAATTGGTGAGCAGAAACGGGAATTTTTAACTTGACTGATTGTCTGGCCACAAGTTATGCTCCCAACGGCAATGCCATTGGCTTGAATTCTTTGTGGAAGCCATTCAACTTCTTCTGGGTAGAGAGGAATTAGCATAATCCCATCATTAGCTTGGCAAAGCCCTGAATAAGAAAAAGGGGGGAAATAAAATCGATCAAA